TTTCTGCCGGTAGAATGCAGTTACCGGCAGTCATTGTCGGTCTTCTGTTGATCATCCGGCTATCCAGGAGTGAGATCCTGACGCCGCCGTACTTCAATTTAGCCGAGGGTAAAGAGATCGTTGCCTCGGCTACCTGTGGCGTTGACACTACTGGCCCCGAATTATACTGTAAACTCGTCGGCGCGAACGCCGATCAAGATGAGGATATTAACTTGATTCAGGGCCAGGTAAATATCAGCGACATACTGTAAAAAAAGTAATATACTTAATATTTGAAATATAATGTATAATATACTAATATTTGCAACTTGACGTTGTAAACGTCTCAGATTTCGTTTCAAAATTAAATTAATTAAAATCACATTTACTTGAAATTATCAAATTTATAAACATTTTTTTTGTATATAGGTACAAAAATATTTTTTCAATAGCAATTTGAATTAATTTTTAGATATGTGATAATCTGTTGATTAAGTATGTATCAAATAAATATGATCTAAATCGATTTAATGAATATTCTTACGTGCTATGTTATTTTCGCCTTTAGTATTCGCACCGAATTTTATCTATTATCATTAGGTCCTACGAGTCCAAGAGTTTATCAGTTTCGAAGCGACTTATTCGATTACTTCCTTTTCTTATCCTCTTCTAGTCTTTTCATTCATATTAATAGCTACATCGAAGTAAATATAACATTTTATCTAAACATTTATAATAATGTATCATTTCACGTTCTTTCTATATGTAAGTTATATACGTATATGGTATTACGATAAGAAATCGACATCAGACATGAATGAAATCATTGATTGAAGATTAGCTTTCATCAATTCAGCGATGGATATACAAAGGAATTTATTGATAAAGAATTTGACATAATAAGATTTTTACATATTTCTTATATGTATATAAAACTTACGAACTATATTAATGCATTTATAATATATGCCTTTATACAATTATATATTTTCAAAATTTTCAAAATTTCAGAAAATTTAAAACTTCTAGAAAAAATTTTATTTTCCATTGCAATAATTATTAAAAATACAGTAAATAGTAAGTAATACAGTAAATGTAAAACAATATAGAATTTCTTGTACGTATTGTGTAATACAATTGTAATTGCATTATGCATAATTACCATTTTTTACTGCTTAAAATTAACACTCTCGGCAATATTAATGTATAAACGAATCGAGACAAAGGATTACTACAAGACTCTTCCGTAGATCCAGCTAAAAACCAGTTCACAGGATCTATGATTGTGTTTGAAGAATGCAATAGATTCACAGGAATTCATTCATATCGCGTTTTCTACAAACAACGAATGATCCTTCGTTAATGAAAATAAAAATCACGTGTATACATACATATAATATATTTATTATTGTATTATTAAATTGTAAATATAAAAATAACATACATTTAATCTCCAAATTTAAATTCTCTGCTATGTTAGTATGCTTATAATATCAAAAACTTTGAATTTGCATTATAATAATTCAAAACTGTCTCTATGCATATTCATATTTTAATTGCTGTGATGCTGATCCAGCATCTATCTGGACCGTTAATATCTCTAAGAACACGAGGCGTAAAAGCTTACGACATCGTTTCTCATCGTATACCTATCTATGTGGGTAAAAGGAGACGAAACCGAAGTAAACTAGAAGCGAGAAGTCTGATAAAACGAAAGATAAGGATGACCTCTCGATAACACTCGATCGTTCATCCCTCCGAAATTAAGAAGAATTATATATGCTTCAAAAAAAAGAAATCTCCATCTACATATCCTTCTACTATCTAAATTTGATTTTTGATATTAAAATTTATAACTAAATACTATTTTTTATAATTTTAATATAAATTAATATAAATTTAATATGATATGCAGAAAATGCGTATAATATTAAAGAGTGAATAACAAAGTTATAGAGCAAGTTTCTCTTATGAAAATTTTTTGTTTATCTCTTACGTCTAAAATAAATATTCTAAAATTCGATTAATGTTTCTTTCTTTTTAATACAAGAACAAATTTTGGTTTCTTATAGGTATGCGATTATTGTGATCCTGATAATCCTGAAAAAAGACATCCACCTGAATATGCGGTGGACGGTATGGAGACTTGGTGGCAATCACCACCTTTATCAAGGGGAATGAAATATAATGAAGTCAATTTGACAATAAATCTTGGACAAGTAAGTTAACATAGTATAAACATAGAAATTATAACGAGGTTTTTGAAGGGGATCGTCAGATTCAGAAGCGACAGGAAACGATGATGCGCGATTCTTTTATCGGCGACGCAAACATTTTATCATATAAGTAAGTAGGCGTTTTCCTGCAAGTGGGAAGATTTATCTTCGGTTTGTTTCCGGAGAATAATGAAAAGTGTTAAAATTCCCAAGATGAAAGGAACAATAAAGCCGCTCA